CTTGAACTTGCCCCAGGTCTTCACCTGCTGCTGCAGCGGTGCTTTTCCCGGTTCAGATATCAGGGTTTTTATTGGTCCCTTTACGATCGGATATCTTTATTGGCTACTGAAGTGCCGTCAAAGGTTTGAATATCAATTCAAATTGTGTGCGTACTCAGTAACGAACAATGACTTAAAAGTAATGAAGTAGATTATTTTGCTTAATTTGTACTTAAGTACAAGTAAAAGTACAGCTTTAAAAATATACTCAAAAAAGTACAAGTAGCCTACCCGAAAAAACTACTTAATTACAGTAACGTGAGTAGTTGTAATTCGTTACCTCCACTGTAATTTTCTATCTTTAACTGTTTTAAATTCATTTTAAAAGTTTTTAAATTCTTGTTTTATTGTTGTGATTATTTTTTTATGATTATTTTACTTTTAAGTAAAGCACTTTGAATTACCATTGTGTATGAAATGTGCTATATAAATAAACTTGCCTTGCCTAGCCTCCTCTGTTGATTTTTTTTTAAACCAATGAGAAATAGATCCACTCGGCTGACGCAGTGAAATACTCGATGGTGATTGGTTATTTTTTTTTTTAATTTTCTTTTATCAACAGAGGCCAAAGTATAAAAGCTTCCCAAATGGATTGTGCTTCAGCTTTCCCCCTTCCCTTCTCTGTCCACAGAGATGTTCAAGGGGAATAGTAGTGGTAAAACACAGTGGAATCCAACTCCAGCTATATTTTATGGTTTGCAACAGTGAAATAAAAATAAATAAATAAATATTCTGTAGACATATAATAACATTAACTGTAGATTTTATTAACATTAAATTCAACTTTTTTCCACCTCAAAATTGAGTAGGCTGTGCTTCCCTTTCTTCCCAACGAGCCGCCATGGCAATCTGCACCTTTCAAGCAAACCATGTTGTAAAAAGAAGCTTTTTAGGTTTCAAATGATAAAACAATGGACTGGGGGGGAAATTAAGACATGCTGTGGTTGTCAAATGTTAGTGAAATATAATTAAAAGTTTATGAAAAGGAAAGTTAGTTTGCAGATCCCACTAGGTTTCATATTTGCTATCTAACAGAATGAAATTCAAACATTTCAAACAAGTCTCACTACTTTTTGGGCCAATGTATTGTACATATGATGGAGATGCCACAAGTCTCCTCCTGGTGGGTGTATATAACCCAGCGTGGGCTGTTCAAATTTTCATTCATTTTGTACGTTTCATTGGTTCCAAATAAAATATTTTTTACCAACCATTGGAGCCAATGGTCAGTGAGTCCAACAGAGAGAAATTAACAATTGATAGACCTGTGATTTAGAAAATGCCTTTCAAATACAGTGGCGTGTTTTCTTTCAAGCCACCAGTTAACAATTCATGCTCAGAACTGTCATCCTTCAATACATCACCATACATTTCGCTTTCACACAGGTCTGATTGGCATCAACATTATTATATTTCATCCAAACATCACAGATACTAAATGTCTTGGTCACAAGCCACTTAATGGAAAAAGACAAGATATGGGCAACAGAGAAGTAGTCTTTTGCATTCTCTGTACGAATCATTAACTTTGACATTCCTTGTCAACATAGCAACTGTGACTTTTATCAAAAATAAAACAAGCTTTCAACAGCAGAATATTCATCTGCATGCAAATGATTCCTAAATCTTGAGAAGAAACATGCAGTTTGCTCACAGCTGTGTTGCACGATAGGTGAAACTCTCTCAGCACACTTTTAGTGCCACAGTACGCACATGTATCTGCTGTTTGCGCTGTGTTTGTCAGCCAAAATGCTTGCGCTGCAACCTGCGTCTCTTTGTTGACTCCAAGGCGAAAGTGTGTATACGGGTCGTTCTAGAGCTAAACTCCATTTTAGAATGCAATTCAGCACTGCTGTACAATCGCTGGCTTATGTTGGGCGAATAAAGTGTTCGCACCCATCCTGCATTACAGACTGACTCAGCATGTAGCACCATGTGATCTCGGTTTGTCTGTGCTGCGACTGTCCCACTGGAATATTTTACAAGGGTTCACAGGAAATGAGTAAATGACTTATGCAAATTGAAAAGCAATTGAAATAACCACTGCTGTGACTCGCTTTTTCTGCAAAGATGAATGTGTTTGTAATGACGTGGCAAAGTTCTCATATTGTGGGTGACGCTTGGCTATTTAAGCCAAATGGACAGGCTTAAAACTGACAAGGGCAATGCCAAGGTCATGTTCTGAGACAGAATTGTCTTGTGTGATTATACCGGCACAATTTATTATGAAAACTAATCATTCTAAAGTGCCTTCGTTTTCTCAAAGTTGCCTAAAAATGCTGTAAGATATTTTTAGTACACTAGTCAAACAACACTAAGTGCAAATAAGATTGACCTTAAAAGTAAATATGCAGCGTATCGTAAGCTTGTTTGATGTTTTTCTCCCCAGCAATTAACATGCCTCGGTGATTTTCTCGTCTAACGAACAAAACTTCTCAGGGAAACAGCATGTAAGCACAGCTGTTTCACAGAACTGCGATCTCCAATCAATTTGATCGCAAATCACATTGTGCTCAGCACAACTGCAAACATCCTTCATGCTGTAAACTACACTAACGTGGGTTTAAGTGGGCTCTCGGCCGTGTATCTGCCTAAGGCCGGCGTTCTGAAGCCAGCAGGGCTAGGATGAAGAGATTCAGGGGGAGCTTTGGTCTGTCCTCACAACCCAGAACCTCCATTCCACTCTCACAGCTGTGTTTACACCTCTCATGTACCATCTGAATACTCCCAAGAGTCCTTGGGTTAGAAGTACCTCTTTTCCCACCAAAACGGTGTTGGTGCTCAACAAGAGGAACTTGCTCATTTCCTCTGACTTGACAGCTGAATTATGACATAACTGACCACAAACAAACAGCACAGTTTTATGTTCATAATACACTCTTAGAAAAGCTACATAGATGTCACTGGGGCAGTATCCTAAGCTACAAAATGTAAAAGTTACATCTTTGCAACTTATTTATCCATAAACATTACATATTAGTACCGTAAAGGTGCATAGTAGTAATTTAAAATAGCATATTTCTACCTAAAGTGTATATATTAGTACCGTTTTTTTCTGAGAGGGTACAGCATGCATAACATAATACTCTTTTTAGCAAATTAGGACACTATAAATAATTCAAATCCAGAACAAACTCCAATAAAAATGTTCATACATCTGCTGAGTGCAGAGGTGCTGAACTGTGTTGCGCAAAAGTGATAATTTTCAAATCTAAGATGTTCTGGCAGCGGCAACGGTCGAGTTTTTCACCATCCCAACATGCATACATTTATTCAGATCTGACCTTTCGGTACAGCTTTTGGGTTTTTCCAGTGTGGCATGTCATTTAATGCACCGTACTTATCCACCATCTCTGTGTAAATTGTATGTAATCAGAGGGATTTTTGCTTTTGTGAGGGTCAACAAGAGATGGGGAAAAAAGCACAGCCCTGCATAAATTTGTCAGCTTAGCAGCAGCCAAGAGCACACCGGGTTTGCTATCTTATTTCATACATTTACTTTAGACTAATAAACCGCACTGCTGTTGACAAGAATCACACACAGAGGTAGATTTTATTGTTTTTATTTTAGTAACAGTTAATTGACAAACATGAGGCTACATTTTATTAACATAAACCAATCCTAAAAAAATCAGTGCATTTGGGACACAAATGGAAACTTCAAGTGGTTACTTTATATGGATGGATAATGCACAGTGTGTATTATTCATGTTATATTTAATTCAATTTTACTTATGAATTTCATATCCAAACAATGAATGACTGTTGTAGCACTACAGTTATTACATTCAGTGGGATATTATGGCCTTCATAAATGTTTGATGTTATAACGCAAAAACAAAAAACAATTTAATTAACAGTTTTAATAAAATTTTGCAGTACCAGGACAAATTATGCATTCCGTACACTCATAATGTTGCATGGTATGAAAAATGCATGATGACAAAGTGGTGAGGGGTGGAAAAATAAACCATTTAAGTATATTATTCAGCAGCTATTTCTGAGGACTTTTAGTTTAATACAGTTTATTTGCTGTCTCCAAAAAAGATTAAACCAGCCTAAGATGGTTTGCTGGTCTATGCTGGTTCAGCAGGGCTCCGTGTTTGGCCAAGCTGGTGTTTAAACAGAGCTTTTTAGAGCTGTATTCATTAATGTGTTTATTATTTACTTGTTCGTTTGTACCAAAAACAACCTCAAACTATTCCCTTTTACACAATACAATGTGCATCTGGCACAATTCCTAATGGAAGACTGGAAGACAACGTCTTAAATGTAGATCAAACAAGGAAAAAGAATGAGGGTAACCAACTGTAGCTTGCAGATGGAACTGCAATATTACAAAAAATATCAGCAGTGAATACCCTTCAACAAGATCAAATAAACATCAAAAGCTTCACAATGTCCCCAACTTTCCTGCAATTAGTGGTGCTTGTATCTTTCTACTACCAGCTGCTAATGAACTTGCTTGTTAAGTAATGGTGATTTAAGCAGACGTTTCAAATGACTGCCATATGGTGAAAATGTTTTTAGGTTGTGTACATAAGAAAAAACATGTCCACTAAAAAGATTTTAATGAGGCTTCACCATTCACCACATAAATTCAGGCCTTCAATTGTTTTGAAATCCATTTTTAACACCGACCTGCACAGGCTTGACTTCATGCGTTCACATTATCAAGAGTCAAAGGGTGAGAGTATTCTCTGAGTGACTGCACAAAAGCATGAAAACCCCTTTCACTTTACTTTTCACTTTCCACTGATATGATTTTTTCAGATGCAGGGGAATAAAATAAAACCCTCAGCAGCTTTGTGGTGTGGTAAATTCATCACGATTCACTAAAGGCTGACCGGACTGAGGCCTCAAGGAAATGTTCTATTTGAATAGTTTAGGCCCTGATTACGGTGAAGTCTGAGATTAAATACATGGATTTAAATTCTCTACTGGTAAGGAAACACCTTCCAGGTACTGTACAGGAATGAGTGACAGAAGCTGAATTAACTGAGAACTTATTACTCTGAGTCTATTAGTTATGGAATATTCTTATTGGAAGACCTGGATTTCTCGAGATCGCAAGGTCATTTAATATAGAAGACATTTTTTTCTGGGAAAGAAGAGCCTCACATTTTGCACCACACATGCCCAGCGAAAAGGGAAAGTTCACTCTGAAATTAAAATTCTGTAATTTACTTATCCGCACGTCATTCCAAACCCATATTACTTTGTTTCTGTCAAATATCCTGGTCACCATTCTTCTGTATAATAAAATTGAGGACTAGAACTGTCAGGCTCCAAAATACACCAAAAAAAGTGGTGCGCCGATAGCTTTGTGTAAAGAATGTATTTTTTTTTTTTATTATATAATTCAGTTACTGCATTAACCTAGTGATGTCTGAATTGTAAAATGACTCGAGTCAGATCTTTTCAATGAATCAGTTGAGCTTACAACATTGGTCTGGATGATTTGTTCATGAATCGGTTCTCAAGAGAGGAAAATTATCAGAGAAATATTCCCTTACATTTTAAAAGGACTGTTCATCACTGTATGATGGTAACGGGAGGATGAACCACTTTTATGACAACTTTTGTATCTTTTTTGAAGTTTCATTCATTGTAACAGCGCTGAAAAGAGTGACCAGTACATTAATTCAAAAGAAAGTCATTCAGGTTTGAAATGACATACAGTATGGGTATGTAAATTGTCAAAATTTTCATTTCACAATTCCTTAAACACAATTTCAGCTTAAACCATGAGAGGAAGCTGCCAGATCATAAGTGTGGTTTCTGCGGTGGTTGCCACAGAACCCTCCCTCAGTCGGCGGAAGCCCTTCCCGCCCGAGATGACTGCTACTGAGGTAACCCTATCCCTCCTCATCCTGTCCCTCTCGCAGGGTTGACCCCTGACCCACATGTCTGGATCATCGCTGAGTTCGTATATGGAGCCGTCTTCCATGCTGTGCTCCAAAGATTCTAAAGACGAGTCCGAAGCTTCGTCCCCTCTCGCGGTTAATGGTCGCCCGGGCAAACCTGAGGTTGAGCGGAGGCGGTACTGTAGCAACACTCCACTCCTACCCTTCCCTTTACCATCCACTTGGGCGGAAATACTGGGCTGCTGGAGCGATTCCTGAGAGGACGAGTCACTGCGGTCCTCCAATCCACAGGCCGAGTCATGCCCTTCCACCAGAGAATCCCGCTTCAGAAGATCAGGAGACAAACTGCTGGAAAGGGCAACTAAGAAATCCACAGGCCCGCAGTGTGCATTAAGAGATGACATCCCCTTACCTGTGCCACATTGAAAGAGAGCTCAAATTGCTTTAAACAGTAAAAAGCAGCATTGCCACAGGGTCAGAGAAACCTTAAAATTTGATAACTCATTTCCATTACTACTATTACTCGTATTACTTACTGAAATGACTTTGAATTAAAGGAATAGCTCAGATAATTGGTCATTATTTCATCATTCTCCTTGGTTGTTCCTATCCCCTATATATATATTTTTTTATTTTTTTTTATTTTTTTTTTTGGGGGGGGAACAAAGATATTTAGAAGATTTTTTCCATATAAAGACAAGCTCCAGATCAGAGGGGAAACACCATAAAAAGGTAGTTAATATGACTTTAAAATTTAAAGATGTTTAAGGTCAATTAGATTTTAAAATGTTTTATTCTTTCATTTATTCAGCAAGGAGATGTTCTTTTAAACTACTACTACTTCAAAAAAAAAAAAGCATTTTAAAATTTCAAAACGATTATGTGTTACTAAAGACTGGAGTAATGACTAGCACAGGAATAAATAACATTTTATAATAAAATAAAATACTACATTATTTTATTTAAAATGTAAATAATATTTTACACTATTATTCTTTTACTGTATTTTTGATTAAACAAATGCAGCCTTAGTGATTAAATATGACACTGATACGTGTGTCATGTTAGGGTGGATATCAAATATTTGGTCATAAGACACGTTGAACTACTTCATGACACTTTTATGATGTGTTTTGTTCTTTCAGGATCTTTGCAAAAATGCTTTGTAAAAATTCTTCATGATTTTTAATTTGTGTGCCACAGAAAAAAACAACAACAAACAGGTTTTAAACATGATGGTGAGTAAATAATGACAGAAGTTAAATTTTAGAGTGAACTATTCTTTTAACAAAGGGATCACTACATAATTGTCTCTTTGAATCATTGTGTAATTGTCCTATCATTGTGCAAGAGACTTTCTAAAAGGACTAAAGGCACATATGCATCATGAAGTGCCACCATCCGTGTACCTGTAATTTTGGGGATGCCCTCCAACTTGGGCACAGGCAGGGTGATGATAATGCCCTGTGCAGTTCCCACCCACAGCAGCCCCTGGCAAATCAGCAGGCTGGTAACTCTCATGCTCTTCTGACCTTCTAAAGAAAAATACAGGTGTCACCAACACTAAAAAAAAACTTTCTTTAGTCGGCCTGTTTATATCTATGCAGTATGATGCATTTTTACAAACACTGAAAACCACTTTCCTGCTTGCATATCAACAATTATTGTATCCGTGGAGACTCAGATTAAAACCCAGCACACTGCTGATTGCCCGCTCACAGTTGTGCTTCTCTCATCAGCTTTATTTAACTGGTCAATTATAGCAGTGTGTAGGTATGACAACATTAAAATCGCTGTTTAGACAAAAACAACAACATGGATGGAACATTTAAACGACTTCATTCACAGTGCCCAAATCCCTGACCCTGGGTCTTTAGACATCAGAAAGCCACCACAGCATAATTAAAATCAAAGAAGAACAGCACAGCAGAGACTTCAGCAAGCCTGGATGGTGGCCCCATGCTCGTATTATAAAGCTTGCTTTGCATGGGTGATCGGCAAGTGGCTAATTGATTCCTTTTCACCGTCTTTAGGTTGCTATAGTACTTGGGGAGTCTTTTGCTAATGTGTAAATGAAGCATTTTCAGTATGGTAGTTAGTCACCAGGAAATCACTGAAGGTCATGAAAAAACATGAGTGAATGCACTGCATTAGGCAGAATTCCTTCTTAGAAATGTCAGCTGTCCAGTTCTGCAGAGCATTCACCTATTATACATTCGTTTTCTTTGCAAGAGGGATCGCCTTAATAATAGATTGTCAAATAAATCTGCAGTTCTACAGTAATGCATATGAATTCATGAGTGCTGAAAACATAAAATGCTGAGGTTTGGGGAAAAAAATGCATATTGCATATTTTATTAGATGTCCTTGTAGTTGACGCATAATGTGTACTTGGACTCTTTCTGCATTATAACTATCAAGATTTTAGGTTAAAAAGTATTAACTGTCAATATATAAGGTTCAGTCTGTTAACATTAGGTAGTTCAAGAGCTAGTGGTATATTATAAACAAACAGTAATATATATATATATACAGTGGGTACGGAAAGTATTCAGACCCCCTTAAATTTTTCACTCTTTGTTATATTGCAGCCATTTGCTAAAATCATTTAAGTAATTTTTTTTTCCTCATTAATGTACACACAGCACCCCATATTGACAGAAAAACACAGAATTGTTGACATTTTTGCAGATTTATTAAAAAAGAAAAACTGAAATATCACATGGTCCTAAGTATTCAGACCCTTTGCTCAGTATCAGTATAGTAGAAGCACCCTTTTGATCTAATACAGCCATGAGTCTTTTTGGGAAAGATGCAACAAGTTTTTCACACCTGGATTTGGGGATCCTCTGCCATTCCTCCTTGCAGATCCTCTCCAGTTCTGTCAGGTTGGATGGTAAACGTTGGTGGACAGCCATTTTTAGGTCTCTCCAGAGATGCTCAATTGGGTTTAAGTCAGGGCTCTGGCTGGGCCATTCAAGAACAGTCACAGAGTTGTTGTGAAGCCACTCCTTCGTTATTTTAGCTGTGTGCTTAGGGTAATTGTCTTGTTGGAAGGTAAACCTTAGGCCCAGTCTGAGGTCCTGAGCACTCAGGAGAAGGTTTTCGTCCAGGATATCCCTGTACTTGGCCGCATTCATCTTTCCCTCGATTGCAACCAGTCGTCCTGTTCCTGCAGCTGAAAAACACCCCCACAGCATGATGCTGCCACCACCATGCTTCACTGTTGGGACTGTATTGGACAGGTGATGAGCAGTGCCTGGTTTTCTCCACACATACCGCTTAGAATTAAGGCCAACAAGTTCTATCTTGGTCTCATCAGACCAGATAATCTTATTTCTCACCATCTTGGAGTCCTCCATGCGGGCTTTCATGTGTCTTGCACTGAGGAGAGGCTTCCGTCGGGCCACTCTGCCATAAAGCCCCGACTGGTGGAGGGCTGCAGTGATGGTTGACTTTCTACAACTTTCTCCCATCTCCCGACTGCATCTCTGGCGCTCAGCCACAGTGATCTTTGGGTTCTTCTTTACCTCTCTCACCAAGGCTCTTCTCCCCCGATAGCTCAGTTTGGCCGGACGGCCAGCTCTAGGAAGGGTTCTGGTCGTCCCAAACGTCTTCCATTTAAGGATTATGGAGGCCACTGTGCTCTTAGTGCAGCAGAAATTTTTTTGTAACTTTGGCCAGATCTGTGCCTTGCCACAATTTTGTCTCTGAGCTCTTCAGGCAGTTCTTTTGACCTCATGATTCTCATTTGCTCTGCCATGCACTGTGAGCTGTAAGGTCTTATATAGACAGGGGTGTGGGTTTCCTAATCAAGTCCAATCAGTATAATCAAACACAGCTGGACTCAAATGAAGGTGTAGAACCATCTCAAGGATGATCAGAAGAAATGGACAGCACCTGAGTTAAATATATGAGTGTCACAGCAAAGGGTCTGAATACTTAGGACCATGTGATATTTCAGTTTTTCTTTTTTAATAAATCTGCAAAAATGTCAACAATTCTGTGTTTTTCTGTCAATATGGGATGCTGTGTGTACATTAATGAGGAAAAAAAATTTACTTAAATGATTTTAGCAAATGGCTGCAATATAACAAAGAGTGAAAAATTTAAGGGGGTCTGAATACTTTCCGTACCCACTGTATATATATATATATATATATATGCAAATTAACAATTAACTGAATGCATAATGTTAAAATGTTGAACCTTTTGTCATGAATATATAAAGGAAAGGTGTGTATCTTAGCTCCTGTAACTGGTAAAAACTGTTCTTTTCAATGCACTTTCACTCATCAAATGATTCAAATATTTCTCAGTTAATTAGAGGTAATAAAATCTGCATGCTTAATATAAGAAATGCGGTTTAAAACAATTTTAGATGGTCACACCGCAGGTCATTCAAACAGATTATCATGACAAAATTATTTAATCTTAATTAGCTACAATATAATGTTAAGGGCTTAGATGTATAATATAATATAACACAACACAATACAACATAACAACATATGTTTCAAAGATTCTCTTTGATGCAATATGGATCTGACTGTTCCAGCTATTATTAGAGAGGAAGGATTCAGCCTAATGTCTGGCTTGCTTATCATGTCTGAAGGTTCTAACTGATGAGAAACTGCAGAATAATCGGTTCACTTTAAGACAATAATTAATTCATCACCCATCACTTGGGTGCAAACCTGTGGGATTAGCAGACCATTGATCTGTAATAACTATATCAGTCCTCCTATGTGTGATGTGTGCAGATTAGCATATTCAGGAAAGCCAGTGGGACGTTCTCTGGGCCTAGAGTAAAAAAGGGGAAGAAGGCATCTGCCAAAGCTTATTTTCACTTTTGTGCTCCATTGACTGTAAACCCCTCGACATAACATGAAATCGCAGAGTCACCTCAACCAACATGAACAACGTATTTAAACACAGCTAGCTCCATAAGTTCGACAACAGCCTGAGGGTTGCAGGACCTTCGCAGACATCTTTGCCACAACTTCTTCACGTGTCTTTTGAAATACAGCTGTAACTTTGATCCAGAGGTTTGACGTTCTCACTGTTCGACAAAAAAAACAAAAAAACAAAGGTATATCTTTTTCGCTTTGTTTTTAATGAGACATGTTTGTAGCAACAGGCCCATTGACATTAACTTGCTCTGGCCAGTTCCTGAAGTCTGCTACACCGCTTTGGGTTTATTTTTCTCCTTCTCTTTTCTATTCCACTTGATCGCAATTGTCTGTGACAACTGGAGAATCATGGGCTTTTTTTAAGCTTAACGTGGACAATCGCATTCAAGTGAAATCAAACATTATTAGACAGCCTGAAAGAAGTTATTCTGCTCCGGAGGATTCTGCGAGCTACTGGAGCGATGCCGCCCAGATTTTCTCTTTATATAGTCTGATGTGTGGCGCTGAATTACTCTGAAGTGGTGTGGATATTTACTTAAACTATTATTTTCAGTGTCCTTGCTTATATAATGAATGTTTACACAAGCTCCCTTCTGCAAAAAGGTAGTGAAAAACATGGTTTTAGCTTACATATATTTCATCTGAAGGAGGGACGAAGCACAAAGAATTTGACAAATTTTAGATTTAACAGGACCCGAGGGAGATAAGATGGCTAAAGGTGAGTGCAGAGAGGTAAAAAAGTGAATACAGCTGAATTAAATACCAGCTGCACTGAGAAATGGCACAATGGCAAAACGCTGGCACATTACCAACATGCCACGGCAGCTGGACTCATGACAAGAGTGTTGCCATGGCAACATTTCTAATGGAAAGCTTTGTCTGTGCCATTGTGACTTTTCCTGCCTGTAACCCCCGCAGCTCCATTACTGCTCTGCGGGGTCTTAAGTTAGCTACTTATTCACGGTCGGTCCCTGGAGAGCCAGCCTACAGGAACCATTCCAACAAGAACTTCTCTGTCATTAACTTTTTATCAGAAGAAGTGCAGTTCAAAGAAATTATGGAAACAATGCTGTTCAAGCATGTGTGAAGGCATAAAGAATTTTTGTATTCAAACTGCTCCTTCCGTAAGGTCAAAGGAGAGATACTCACTGGGGTTGTAAAACGATGAGGGTGTAGATATGTTGATCTCCTGCAGGTGCTCCAGTGTTTCCGTATGGAACAAGCGTATAGAGGAACCTTCTGAAAAAGCCATCCATACGCCCCCCCCAGCTCGTACCATATGGGCCACGCTCACCATCGGGTCCTGATGGACCTCAAATCTCTAAAACAGAACAGAGGACAATGAGATTACATCAGATATCTAACTGTATCTAACTCAATACAGGTCTAGTGGGACATTTTCTGATAGTTTGTCATCGAGCTGTTTTTAAGATATAATGCCAAATTCAAAAGGGTGAAGAACTCCACTACACAACAAGTTAAGAAATATAGTTTACCCACAAAAGAAACTATCATCTCATATCACAATATGAGTCATTTTATATCACGATAATGATATATATCACAATATATACATTTTTGCTTTAAATAAGGTCTTTATGATACCAACATTTACCATAGAAATGTCATAATTCTTGTTACCAGTGTCAATATCACAAAAACTAATACTACTAGCCTAAATTTAAATGTAAAAAAGCTCACTGAAGACATGTAAACAGTCAGTGATTAGATAAGAATAAGAAACTAATAACCAGCAATAAGACAAAAATATGCAGTAGAATAAATAAATAAGAAATGCTACATACATTGTATAAAGTAATCAAATGAATAAAAACACTGCATATCCGTCACTGTGTAAATTAAATATACTGTATATTATTTCTCATTAAAGTTACAAAAGTGATTTAGTTCTAAGCAGTGCGAGACTTTCTCTCTTTTGTTGTTTGATTAACGTGAATGACAGACAGCAGGAATATTAGACTGCTGTCACTTTAAGAGCTGCCCGGATTCCAATTAACTGTTACACGTGTTTTCTTTCTCAGCCGTTTGCTTTCACTTAAGACCTAAATTATTGCGTTTACAATGATATTTCCAAAGACAGGCATTGTGATGCATACAATTATGTGTATTAAACCATTCAAGGGCTGTAAAACTGCAAAAATATATCTGTTCAATACTCTCGCGCTCTATGAGCACCGTCTTCATGTGCGCTTCTCTGACAGCACTCAAAACCAGTCTCTCTGACAGCACGTGCATATAGCAAAATGAGCTCCCTTTTGATGCTGATTGCGTTTCAACATCTTAAAATCATGATTTTTAAAAACGCATGCAAACGATAAGTTTCCGTGACCAAAATCTCTACCGGTTGATCGTGTCTAACGGTGTATCACCCATCCCTACTACTTACCCGCTTGTTGTTCCAAACCTGTAGGCGTTTTGTTCTTCATAGGAACACAAATGAACACAAATGTTTTTGCCCATACCAACCAAACTATTTTGGATCCCACAGCATTTAACTGCATGTACAAGACATTTTTCAAAATATGTTCTTTTGTATCCCTCATACAAAATCATACAGGTTTGAAATGATATGAGGCCGAGTAAATGACAGAATTTGAATTTTTTGGGAATAAACTCGAGTGCCTCACTTTACTGGTTGATTCAGGCAAAGACATAATTGTGATAATGGAAAACCTGACAAGATGCCAAGTGATCCAGCATTTTAAGATTCTTAAAAACTAAACATGAATCACTAAAATTGCATGTTTACAAATAAAACGGCCATTATTTTGATCATTCAAAGTGTCTAAACACATTTTTATGTATTTTATGCAAGTTGTCTTTACAACAATTTGACTAAATTGTACTTGTGCACAACTGGCACATTTTCGTTTGAAATCTGAAGACCCATTATGCATTTGAGTTACATTTGTTCAGCGGGAATCCAGCAAATACCCATTCCAATAGGATAATGCATGCCATATTATCTTCAACATAAAATTCACACAAAAACAAGTAACAAATTCTGTGCACAGTCAGAAGAAACTATAATAATGCTGGATAACAGAACCATCTAATCTAAGTGGCATTTGAGACGTTTGACCTACATGTTCAACTGGGAAGTATAAACATGACATTAACATTCCCTTCACGATAAAGTCATTTCAGACTGCAGTCGCATAGCTTTACTAATGGGTTAAAAGGTGGACTGCAAAACCAGAGACCAATGAGAATCAACAAGCAGAAAGGATTGGAACAGAACTCAATAAGGCATGACAAAAACAAGCAGTTACAGAACTCCATCTCCTTTCTTCTCTCATTTGCTTTCGCTTCTCCATTAGCTCACAAACAGAATATTGAACTATAATGAGAAAAAGGGTCCATCGCAAATGCATCTAGCTTTTATTTTCCCCTCTTTTATTCTCAATACAGTACATATGCAAGGACTTCCTCACATGCACAGTCTAAAACTAGGACAAGAACGGTGAGCATTCAGGCTCTCAAGGTGGCATAAGAAAGGGAAAACCTTACACACTTGTATAAATAAAACATTTAGTGTGATTGAAAGCTTGCTAGGAGACCATACTCACATATGGTTCAGGTTGTTTTCTCCAAACTGGAAGATCCACAATGCTGCAAGAATTCTCTTTAATGATGAGCCACCAAAGTTATCAGCAATTTAAGGCCCTTTGTATCATTTGATTCTCATGAGAACACCGTGTGCCAGCATAAATTCCAAACTTTCTGGACTTCAGAGCTGATTTATGGTGTTATGTATACCAGAGACTCAAAACAATGTAAGCAGATCAAAAGCAACCACTGAGGTGGAAGAGGGCATTCACATCTTCACACACTCCTGAGAAACCCTGGATTTTAGCCTGTGGCAAAAAAAAGTTAAGAAGCAGGCATTGTTCTGGTCATCCTCTATCAAAAGACCTCTAGTTGAGCAACAGATACCTAATCCAAAGATTAAGCTGGAGGTCCCCCTTCTGGTCCAGACCAGTTCACTTCTGTCACTGAATTAGTAGCATAAGAGATACAGATCCTTCACCTGAAAATGAACATTCTGTCATTATATACACACACTCATGCTGTTTCAAACCGAATGACTTACTTTCTTCAGTGGACCATAAAAGAAAATATCTTGAAGAATGTCTCTGTATTTTTTGTGTCCAGTAATTTTTGACATCCAATGTTGTTTTAGTTGAAACATTCTTCAAAATATAAATTTTCACATCAGTCGGTCCAAAATATCACATCGAGTTTATTTTCCAAAAGAGTTTACTCTCAGTGCAAACTACCACATCACTGATTTCAGCCTTTATATATAATATATAAAAACACATATATAAAACTTATATAAAAACACCCTATTCTAAATGGTAAAAATCTCAGCAATCCATGGGTTATACACATTACATATGAGCTGTCTTTACAATAGTCTTTTGCATTTTCTTCTATGTAGTTGTGTACAAAAAGCCTAGTTTGTTACAAAGAAGGTTGATGAGAAATGTCGCCTTGTCTCTGAGTCTATTCAGAATGTTAAAGGGGTCATATGATGTGATTTCAATTTTTCCTTTCTCTTTGGAGTGTTACAAGCTCTTGGTGCATAAAGAAGGTCTGTAAAGTTGCAAAGACTAAAGTCTCAAATCCAAAGAGATGTTTTTTATAAAAGTTCAGAGTCAGCCACACCTACCTAAAACGGCTCATTCTAACACGCCCCCACATATCTACCTCACTAACCCAAATATCCAGATGTGTGCAGCACATTTTATGGAGGACTGTTTACTGATCTTTGGAGAGTAACGTTAGACTAAAATGCCGGCAGTTCTGACTCACAGTCTGTAAGTACGTTTTCATTTAAAGGATTTGCCACTGATGATTCAAACGCGAGTTTTGGGCAGTAGAGTAGCACTTGTTGTTTGTCATTTCTCTGATCACAAATGCAGACAGAGTTTTATGTTTACGCGGCGCGATGCAATGCAACGCGTAAAAAGACAGTATAAGTCATTATAATCAGTAATTATGTCCCCACTGGATGCAACAAATGCCTCGTTTGTAATGGGTTTTAATGTTTTTGTCTCGTCGCTCCGGCCGGGACACGGCACTTAAACTTTGGATTTAAAGTTGATGATCAGTGGAAAAAAGGTAAGCCTTTGGATGCTTTATATGTTACCAGTATGACTGTGAACTGTTGAGGTGAATTTACTTTTTGGGGACAGTTATGATTTGGTTTAGATCCTGCCCAAACATAAAAACAGTTTAAAATCCAACTCTTGTGCTGAATATCAAATTATATCTCAAATAAATGTTTTTGACCAACTATGTCACCGTTATCATTGTAGAAATATTGTTTCTCTATGAGTCAAATGGAAGCCTGTTTCAGTCTGAGTAAAAAATTAATTATGAGATAGCTTAAAATAAGAAATAAAGTTAGGTAACTTTATGAGAAAATCACAATTATGAGATTATGAGTAAAAATTACAAGACATATTTCCACTTGTGAGAATTATAAACTAAACTATAATAAGTCCAATTATGATATAATGACACATTCTGAGATATAAAGTCATGTTTTAAGATCCAAGTGTTAATTGTGAGATATGACATATAAATTTAAAGACTGAGATATAGAGGAAACAGGCTTCCATAGTGTCAGTGGAAGACTATAGAAAGGGTAAAGTGCTATTCTGTCTAATCTTCCAGGAAAAGTCCTTGCTAGACTAAAATTTCAAAATGCTGTAATCCTTCATAGGGCTTATTCTAAAAAGTCTCCTAACGCTGTGATGCTTGTTTTAATGGGAATCTAGCATTCACTGTCTAAGGCTCTCAAGCAGAAGAGCATTCCACAAGATCTAATGCTGTTGCAACCATTACACGATATCAAAAAGCATACTTTTGCTTGCCGTTAATTTGCACAACACTGTTAGTTGTTCTCGTTTCTAGTAATGTACAAGATGTTCTATGAATCTATGGAATCATACTGGAGAACATCATCAGGTTTTACACACACACAGACAAAAAGAAATACAGAATCTTCCCTTTGAATATGCTTGTAAACTGCATTTCTGCTTACCGTTTTATTTGATTTGTTATAAGACATTCAGATGTTCAAACACAAAAGCAAAATCCAATGCAAATTAACACCTTCTTTCCTTTATCTTTTCCTGCAATGCACAGCATTTTTGTGCCTTCAAAATCACCATCCGACCAGTGGGTTCAAGGGCCACACATCATGAAGGTTTCAATGACTCAGGATCCAGTTTCTTTGATTTCAAAGTGATTCACAGCGGAGCCTTGCTTCACTGTCTCACAAAACAATACACCCCCTCCCAAACACCTTTTTAAAAGTCCACAGGGAAAGAGGAGCCATTTTATGCCTGATCCTCTAATGAGGCATGAGGGAGCTGCACTCCTTATCGAGGGTTTGCACGCAGCCCCCTGAGGTCTGTGGTGCTACCGAGGAGCCCTGAGAACCCTTACAAACAGCTAGTTCTCCAGTCTGGGGTTGAGGCAGATTAATTGGAGGGGGTGAGGTGGGTGCGAGAGACTGTTCTCTCCTCTGCACACTAGCGGACAGGGATTAGCACCTGTTTGCGTGCCCTTGCCAAAGGGAGCTTCTTTTGTTTGAGAGCAAGGGAGACGACTGAAACTGCCTTTGATGTGTTTTCACTTTTAATTGACTTGTCGGCAGTGCTCGCCTTTGCTCTTGTTCTCTCTCTGTTTTCATTTTATTTTGCTTGGACTATTTCTTCAGAGACAAGACACCTGAAGAATACTTCTATCAACTGATTATTTCCATCTGTAATACGGTTGTGAATGTATATGTTAACATTGTTACAACAGATTTCTATTTCAAATAAATGCTGTTCTTTTGAACTTTCTATTGATCAAAGAATTCTGCATTAGGGTTTCCACAAAAACAAAGCAGCTTTTTTTGATAATAATAACAACACTGATAATAGTAAGATTTTTTTTTTTTGACAAAACTATCAAAATCAGCATATTAGAATAATTTCTGAAGGACCATGTGAAACTGAAGACTGGAGCAATGGCTGCTTCACCATCTCAGAAATAAATTACTTTTTAAAAATACAAAAATGTAATTATTTAAAAAAAAAAATTTTATTAAATTGTATTTTACTTTTTTTTTTTTTTTTTAATCTTACAGACCCCAAACCTTTGAATGGTACTGTATTTTAATACTAGGCCTATAAATCTCTCAGCGCAAATGGTGGACTCACATTCCGAAATTGAAAGGTTCCAATTTTCAGCTGTCTTAGGTGGACAGAGCTAAATACAGAAGTAAACGGTGTCCAAAATGTTAACTCATACAGCATACTATAACTGTTCTAAGCACAGCCAATGCTTTACAGCTATAAAATAAAACAACCACATGACTGAAAAATGTGGACAATCTCATACATATGTGCCTGGCATCTACACTAATTTTATTTGAATAAAACCATCAAGTGAATAAATGACCATGTGAAGCACATACATCCTAAGTTAACTTATCACAGCTGCTTGCTGAAATACCAATGAGCTTTTAGTTTGCAACATCATGTTTGTCATGTGATTAAATAAAGCATTTATCCACATATAGTACAGTAACACACTGTTACAGTAAGTCATACGTAGTCACAGGATATTAATTTGAGATACAAATACTGATGCACTGTATTTCTTTACAATATTACCACATTCTCCATATATATATATATACTGTATATATATATGATTATTATTACTTTTTTTAAGTACATTCTGAAAATCCGTATACATTTACAGTTATGATGACTCTACATATGGTGTATAAATTGGGCCTCAGGTGTATGATCTGAGTTACTGAGTCTCACACAGAGGTTGCCTCCACCAATTCACCCTAAGACAGACACTACATCAGTATCTCACAGCAGGAGAGCACTGTACTACCAGCGGACAAAACACAGCACGCCTCCACTTACCATCTAACCCTTCATTAGTCCACTGTAATACTAGGTGACAGTGCTTACAAGAGCAACATGTTTAAACAACCACTCATTATATGAGTGTGGGACTTCATTCTTCAGCTTTTACTGTTCTGAAAGGATTTCTACAGCCCTGTTTCCACCTGGTATTAAGATGCGTTTTCAGTGATCACAAGTGATCCGCTGAGACACATTATCATTTACACTTGGTCTTAACATGCGTTTCAAATGCATCTCCTGTGACCACTTGAGTTCAGACCATCCCCTCTTATTTTGTAAAACTACACATCACTTTCTAAGGGAGTGCAGAGTGTGGCCCACTGAATGAATGAAACCATTACGTTGCTTATGAGGGAGCGGGAAATGAAGCAAATGCAAAGGATTTTCATTGTATTCTGTGTGTTTTGGCACAACATAGTGAAGTCTGAATCAATTGTTTTCGTGCGCTTTCTCAAAACACGTCCCATAACGCTCACATTAAGTCAAGATGTTTGATTGATGCATCTTAAGGCCATTACACGGTAAACCAGCGGGTGGCCAACCTTGGGCCGTCTTTGAGTGCCTGCCAGCTTTTTGTGGTATGTTCTGCACTGTCCTCACTAGTTGGATCCAGTTGGCTGTCAGTCCTAGATTCGTTTTCCCTTTTTGAATAATGAATATACAGTGCTGCCACCTGCTGATACAGACGGTTGTTTCCTCAGAATGTACATGCTAGTTGGCCAATGGTTGTAGTCTTTGCGGTGTGTTAAAGCGCAACTTTTTTCACGCATACATAATAGCTAGTTCTTAGATGTCAGCTTGGCGTTTCACAGCCTTTACTACCAGGTGTAAAGAGGGCCTACATAATGCGTACGTGCCCAACCACCCGTTTGTTTTCTCCGCAGTACCATGGTTGAAATGCTTTTGGCATTCAACATCAATAGCGATCCAGCGGCCTCAATTGTTTCGGGTCAGGGGAACAAGGTGGCACGCTGCGTAGTGTGGAATTCTTCCCTAAAACTGGTGACAAGAGAGACAAATTCGCACAGGCTCTGTTGCTTATCCCACCGACACACATCATTGTATGCCACTTTGCCACGAGTCCCAAGAAGGCAGATTTACAGCTGTAGAGGAGATGCTTCCCCCTCCAGCTGCTGGGCCTGCATTGCTCCGCAGGGAAAGGGATACAATGCAATCAGTCGAACAAAACAGAGCACTGGCCTGAACCGTGGAGGATCAACCGAAAAGCAGCAGGGGCCCACTCACCTACCACTAGCTCAAATCTCCTCTCTGATGGGCGCATCCAGAGAAATCTCCAAGGATAAAAGAGATGTTTGATTCCAGAGATAAAACCCAAGAAGGCAGAACTAAAGGAAGGCTCAGGGTTATGGAGGCCCATGGGGTAGATCCCCGGGGTACAGCTCCTCCATATTTGAGACAGCCAGAGAAGATTATGAGTATGTCAGAACTATTTACTCATCCTGTGTGGTTTAAAAGTAAGAGGGGGAAAAAAGAGACCCCGGAGGAGACACCCTGGCCATATGGATTGCGGCTCTTCGGTAGGATTATTGATCTTCACACACCAGCTAATTTGTCAGTCAGTGTTGGCCAAGTGCCCGTGAAACATAGTCTGTGTTCTTCCATTTGCTAAAGTTTGATGTGAAAGCATATCAGCATGATTAAAGCTTTGAAATGATGAGTCTACCTGAGTGGACAAACTGGAGCCATCAACTACAGTTACTGTGTTAGCACAGCTAACCCAGACCGAGTCCTCCAAGGCAAGTAGTGTCCTGATGGGATCTGAGCCAACTGTTACTTTCCTACAGGAGTCCTGGTTCCACAGTTCCCCTACAAGACAAAAAGCACAGTAAGTTCACAGTAAGAAGACTTTTATATTTATCAAGATTCTTGGACTTCAACTATGGGCACGCTAAATGCCCCAAAATTCAAGATAAGACAGCAAAAAAATGTAATCTATTATGTCTTTTGTGATTAAAGTGAAATGTGAAAAAAATTAAATGTGTCAACTACAGCATTACATTTACATGTGTACTTTGAGAACTGAGCATTATTACAATTATAACTAATAATTTATTTCCAGTTTGAATAACAGTTTTGTTTTTCATGCTACTAAAATAACCAATGTAAAGTCTTGTTCTTCTAATTTGTAAAAAGCAATAAACTAATTCACAAACTCTTCTTAGATAGTTTTGCCTGTGTGGATAGAGCTAGATTTATTAATGTATTCTATTAGGAAAGGAAAGGACGTGTGGCCAAGTATGGTGTCCCATACTTGGAATTTGTGCTCTGCATTTAACCCATCCAAGTGCACACACACACAGCAGTGAGTAGTGAACAAACACGCGCACACACACACCATGAACACACACCCAGAGAAGCGGGCAGCCAATGATGCGGCGCCCGGGGAGCAGTTGGGGGTTCGGTGCCTTGCTCAAGGGTCTCACCTCAGTCGTAGTATTGAGAGTGGAGAGAGCACTGGATATTCACCCCCCCCACCTACAATTCCTGCAGGACCTGAGAACCCACGACCTTCAGGTTACAAGTCCGACTCTCTATCCATAATAATGTGACATCAAGAGCAATAACTGACAAAAGAGATTTTGTTGTAAAATTGCAGCCCTTGTTTTTTCAAATACATTTCATAAATCATATGCTGACACTGCTGTGTCCTTGTAAAAAAGTATAATGCAAACTGTTTTTTTAATTATTATTATTAATAATACTAATTCTCACACAATAAATATAAAAATGGTTTATGTTTGTTTTGATACTAATGAGCTTTATAAATGTAATACCCAGAAAATAGCCCAAAATATATCACTTTGCATATTCTGAGTTTTATAAGAGAAAACAGAAAAAACGAGGTAAAATTACATGAGTAGCGAATACAATTAGGCTTGTGAAATACCTTGCTTGAAGGCAAATCACTAATCCTATCTGGTAGAACATTTCAAATATAGCCAAAGATTTTCAAAGCTAGTAAATTCATGTTATTTTCCTTATAAATGAATGCTTCAAATAGCGGAGCTACAAAATGCGCTGCATGCTAATTCCACTGCTTTGCCCTGAGCAAGTCACTTAAAGTAAATTGGTTTCATTAATACTCAAGAGTAAATCCTTGTGTTTGCAAGACAAATATGTATAACTGGTGGTGGAACTGTATAATTTCTGGCTACGTCTTAAAAACATACAGCTAGAGCAAGCACTGCAAAGGGTGTTTGTAGACTGCATATCTCCCTCAATAAAACTAGCGCTTTCTATGCTAATGCGCTAACAGTGCCATGTTAATAACTGCAGCGTGTTGTGTAATCCAATTTATGTTTCTCTCCAGAGTGCTCAGAACACGCCAGACTTTTTCCTTGAGTTTTAATCCCACACTGTAGCCACCATGGACACCATTATGGGATGCATTACGTAAGCTTTTTTCTTCGTCTTTTCGCCCCCATCACAATGTTTTAATGAAGCAAAATTAGAGAGGGAACCACAGCGAGCCATTTAATTAACATTTCGAGTTGTTTATTTCTGCCTTTGAAACCAGAATCGCTTTACAATGACTTCCGACTTCCTCAGGTTAATTGCATGGCATATTCAAAATGTCAGTCTTCCCACTTTTTTTTCGTACATATGCTTTGAAAACATCTCCTCAGCTGCTCTGTACCCCCTCATACTCAAACGAGGGCCGCCTCAGATTTGCCTCTTGCAAATCGAGGACCTTCGGGGCGGAGAGGACTTATCTGGACACTCAAAGCATCTGCAGATGCAGTCTTTACTTTATTGCTCCAAAAGTAATAAAGTGGAAGGAGGAGAGACGCAGTCTCATTCAGTTGGGCGCTTATTGCTTCTGGGTGTAATATATTTACGTATTTTCTACGGAAATTCAGACACCTCATTATTATCCTTATAAATTCTGCAAACTGTTGATTAAGCACAACAAAACGATCCTGCCCTCTTAATGTAGCTAGGAAAAAATGGGAAGAAAGACACGAAATCTCACCCCCAAGCAATTTCGGCTTGCTCATACGTTTCAAAAAGCTTTCTGATTAATCTCATGTGAGACTCCAGTGTTTATTACAATATTAACTGTTTTGTTTGAAAAAAAAAAAACAGAAAAAAAAACAAGAAATACATTTTAAAAAATCCAGCCTGTACTTCCCAGGGAATATATCTGCTTGTAATTCATTTCTTTCCACTATATGAATAGTAATATTCAATCGCCACATTGCACATCAGCATAATTAATCTTACTTTCCACTTCACTGGAGGTAATTCCTTGTTGACAGCCAGGTAAGTAGTGCATTGTGATAAACCCATTGTGCCAGGGTTGTCTGCCTTGCACCACCCCCAACATACACATACACACACAGCGCAGTCCCTCGCTATCTATCATGTCTCCGAATGCAAGAGTTCTGCATGCACGCCCGTCTTCTGTTGTCATTAGCCCACACTTACACACCGCAAATGAATAAGGTGCGGGCAGAGGACAGACTTGTGAAATCATAAATTGCTTTCAAGGTAATCCCGAATCTATTGGCTTTCCATCTAACTAATACATACCCAGAACAATCTCATCACCCCTGTCTCATCTCTGAATGCATTCAGAATACATGACAGAACTAATATCTTTCACATACTCACTGAGGCATTCAGCTAACAGAGGAGGGACTGTAAAAAAAAAACATCCCTGAATGTTTGAATGGAAGGTTGATGAAAGAGCAAATTGAACACGGGGACAATCAGATTCATTTGCACTATTAATTTGATTTGATTACCCTTTCACTCTATTGAGTCCCTTTCATTTGGGGACATACTAATAATTACCCTTCTTAATTATCCCACCCATTTAGCGTTTAATCCCGTTAGTGAGAAAAAGGAAAGAGAAAACATACTGAATGTAACTGCCCATTTCTGTGCTAATGTGATAAAGAGAAAAAACAAGCCTAATAGGATAGAAATAACATAGATGTTTAAATCCGAAGTGATTACCCACAATCCAAAACAAACGCCAACAATGTATATAGAATAAATAAGCTTTGTTTGGCATAATGCATTAGAGCAAAAGAGAAACAACTATATACAGCCTCGTGCAAATTATGAGTCCTTGAATTAAATACTGAAATAAAAGTTTTGTTTACATAAAAGACCAAGACTCTATGATATCTGAACTGGGACATTAGAAGGGCCGTGGAAATGGAAAACAACTTGCATGACAGCTGGAAACTAACTTAGAAGTATGAGCTTCTCAGGTGTACTTGAAGGCAGCATGAGCGTACAATAGAATGAGACATCAAACATTATGTAACTCGTACCTCCGTGATGTCTCTCGTACACCATCAGCGTTCCATCCCGCAGGCCAGCGAACAGGAATTTCCCGGAATGTTTGAGACACAGAACTGGACAGCCCTCGGGGTTACGGAGAGTCACAAGACATTGGGCGGCTGTGTCCATACTGCCATAGACCAGAATGCTTTGGGAGATAAACATTGAAGGATATATAAGGACATCTATGCAGGAAGAAGTATCATTTTAAAATGAAGAAAGGAAAGCTAATGCCTTATTTCCACTGTTCATTTGCCTTGATATTGTGAAATGATTTTTTTAAAAGGAGAACTTCTGTTCTCTGTAGCTAATCAGTCCCCTTCATTTGCATAAAGAATATCTCAGAATACATATTGTTCTTCTCAACATTCATAAATGATTTAACTTATTTAGAAAATCACAGTGATTTTAAGAGAGAAATTTGTTTAATTTCTGCCAAAAAGACTGCACCTCAAAACATTCTCCACATATCTACCCAAAAGTTTAACAAAGTGGTAAACTTTTCCTGTTTTAATACTACAAAGATGCATATATACCACAAAAAGGTGCATCTACACAGACGGCATAGATGCGATTACACATGTAAAATGTTAGGAAATTAATGAAGTCGAATATCTTTTATCCTTTTCATATTGAAATTGTTTTTCCATTAAATTACTTTGGAGTCGCTAAAACTTACAAGGATAGTCGTCACCTATTTCTTATCCCTGTGTGTACTGCAGTGTCTGTAATGGCACCTTAAATCTGATTAAGGCTTTTACCTTTCTCGTTTCCCCTATAGCTAGACATGTGCTCAAAACAAACAGCTATTAGGCTATTAGTCTTGGCTACCGCTTGGTTCTCACGGCCAAGTGAGCTGACAGGAAAATAAAGGAAGCATTGATGAGGCACTTCATTTACATAGAACCAAAGCAGCATCAATATCTTTGATACTGAAGGCTTGGGTGAATCTAGTTTCCTCAGAGCAACCTTAATTTGGCTCTGTAGGTGCCTTTATATATTTAACAGGTACTCCAACATTTTTAATTGAGGAACACAATACATATTTTTTAAATAAAACACAGTCTACACTGTAAAAAAATGTTTAATTCAATGTGTTACTTGCTGTCTATACTAATTATGAAATATACTAGCAATTTCAGAGTGACAACTGAGTTTTTCAGTGTATATATTACCCTTTTTCCATTTTTTTCCCTGTGTACATATTACCTGCCATCATCAAGTCCCACACAAATAGTATTTCCAACTCCCATGGAGCTGTGAGGGCTGGTTTTGTTGTCCTCTGAAGGGGTGGGCTCAGGCACATACTCCAAACCCCTCACTCGAGCTCCCATCTGGAGGGATTTTACAGGCCGAGGTGTGGGTCTGTTCAAGGAGAAGATGTCCACCTGGCCTTGAGTGGAATCACTATATACAGCCTCGTGCAAATTATGAGTCCTTGAATTAAATACTGAAATAAAAGTTTTGTTTACATAAAAGACCAAGACTCTATGATATCTGAACTGGGACATTAGAAGGGCCGTGGAAATGGAAAACAACTTGCATGACAGCTGGAAACTAACTCAGAAGTATGAGCTTCTCAGGTGTACTTGAAGGCAGCATGAGCGTACAATAGAATGAGACATCAAACATTATGTAACTCGTACCTCCGTGATGTCTCTCGTACACCATCAGCGTTCCATCCCGCAGGCCAGCGAACAGGAATTTCCCGGAATGTTTGAGACACAGAACTGGACAGCCCTCGGGGTTACGGAGAGTCACAAGACATTGGGCGGCTGTGTCCATACTGCCATAGACCAGAATGCTTTGGGAGATAAACATTGAAGGATATATAAGGACATCTATGCAGGAAGAAGTATCATTTTAAAATGAAGAAAGGAAAGCTAATGCCTTATTTCCACTGTTCATTTGCCTTGATATTGTGAAATGATTTTTTTAAAAGGAGAACTTCTGTTCTCTGTAGCTAATCAGTCCCCTTCATTTGCATAAAGAATATCTCAGAATACATATTGTTCTTCTCAACATTCATAAATGATTTAACTTATTTAGAAAATCACAGTGATTTTAAGAGAGAAATTTGTTTAATTTCTGCCAAAAAGACTGCACCTCAAAACATTCTCCACATATCTACCCAAAAGTTTAACAAAGTGGTAAACTTTTCCTGTTTTAATACTACAAAGATGCATATATACCACAAAAAGGTGCATCTACACAGACGGCATAGATGCGATTACACATGTAAAATGTTAGGAAATTAATGAAGTCGAATATCTTTTATCCTTTTCATATTGAAATTGTTTTTCCATTAAATTACTTTGGAGTCGCTAAAACTTACAAGGATAGTCGTCACCTATTTCTTATCCCTGTGTGCACTGCAGTGTCTGTAATGGCACCTTAAATCTGATTAAGGCTTTTACCTTTCTCGTTTCCCCTATAGCTAGACATGTGCTCAAAACAAACAGCTATTAGGCTATTAGTCTTGGCTACCGCTTGGTTCTCACAGCCAAGTGAGCTGACAGGAAAATAAAGGAAGCATTGATGAGGCACTTCATTTACATAGAACCAAAGCAGCATCAATATCTTTGATACTGAAGGCTTGGGTGAATCTAGTTTCCTCAGAGCAACCTTAATTTGGCTCTGTAGGTGCCTTTATATATTTAACAGGTACTCCAACATTTTTAATTGAGGAACACAATACATATTTTTTAAATAAAACACAGTCTACACTGTAAAAAAAAAAGTTTAATTCAATGTGTTACTTGCTGTCTATACTAATTATGAAATATACTAGCAATTTCAGAGTGACAACTGAGTTTTTCAGTGTATATATTACACTTTTTCCATTTTTTTCCCTGTGTACATATTACCTGCCATCATCAAGTCCCACACAAATAGTATTTCCAACTCCCATGGAGCTGTGAGGGCTGGTTTTGTTGTCCTCTGAAGGGGTGGGCTCAGGCACATACTCCAAACCCCTCACTCGAGCTCCCATCTGGAGGGATTTTACAGGCCGAGGTGTGGGTCTGTTCAAGGAGAAGATGTCCACCTGGCCTTGAGTGGAATCACCTCCACCGGCTACCTGCAAAAACAGAGCAAGGACACCGCTATTATAGGTAGTCATCCAACCAAAACTGCTCTCTCACATCCATGAGTGTACAGGTAGGGAAAGAAAATAATAGAGGAAGGGAAGGGCTTTCTGTTTTTATGCCACTTTCAACCACTCCCTCGGCTTTGTGCTTTCACTTCCAGTGCAGAGAACCATGCAGAGGAAATTTCAAAAGACAGAAAACTCTTTCACTTCCTGTGTACTTTAAGGTTTCCTAGCCCTGTTATTTTATTCCTGTCAATTTCAATTCCACAGTACCTACAAAGTTAAAATCATACATCTCGTAAAAATCGAACCCATAGTCTTTTGCTTGATAAAGTCTCTAAAATTCATACTCTATCACCCCTAATGCATTCCCAGCATCAGTTTGATGACTTCAAACATCTTTTTTTGAAACTCCAGGGATCTTTTCATCGCTGAAGTAGAGGAAAAGGTGGGGTGGAGAGACGTCTTTTGAAAGCCGCTGAGCTGTTTGACAATGGAGGGCTTCCTTTGGGTTGATGATTGATCGCCTTCTTAAGACAGAGACTGAGATGACAAACTCGATCCTTGCTGAAATTACATGTAGTTGACAGAATAAGACTTCAGCACAGTGCTGCTCATAAATCCATCCTCTGGTACCTTCCCTCAACAATTGATCTAGGTTCTGCACCCATTCATTTTCCTAGCGAGTTGCTTTAAAATGCAGACTCTTGTAACACATTGGGATTGCATTGCATCATAAATTAATAATCCCCCAGTTCGTGAAAAATAGTGTTTGTCTTCGCACCCTGCTCTCTCTCATGGTTACTCGTTCATGCATAATGCAATGAAAGCAACCCGCTCGCTATTAGAAATTAAACGAACTGATCAGCATCCCATCATGTCCACCACAAAAATTGGCTCATCTCTCCTTGTGCGGCACTAAACTGCTCCAATTACAAAATCCATTAAAAAAAAGAGGGAAATAAAGGGAAAGAGTATTACAGAGAGTCTGCTGGCCTCATTAGCGGCCCTTGTTTAGGGGCCATCATTTATGATTACCTCAGGACACTGAGCGACTGGGGCTGGCCGAGTGGAGTGTAATCTCAACCAAAGAACGGGAAAACAACAGCAAAATGGGAGGGATGCTGCCGGACAGCAGCGATTAATTCTCATTTAGAGCCATGTTATGTGAGCAAAATGGCAGGGCTAAATATAGTCTTCAGCCTTACAGTTCCCCTCTAATATGCATGCAATCATTTGTCTGATTTGTATTGCAGCGTACAATCTGGATGGCCAAGGTCTCGTGGGCTGGGAAGAGCAAGGCAGAGCAAATAACGGCCTGTTGCAGCAGCGTAGTGGGAGATAGGGAGGGCTTATCTTCGGGCAAGAAGCTAGCAAAATAACTGAATCTCTCTGCGTTTTTCCTACTCAGCCGCAACCTCCAGCAGGCCCTTGTTCTCCCGCTTTCTCAGACAGGCTCAAATCCATGTTCTCAAACTTGACAATGATCCACCCCTCCTTTTTCGATTCAATTCCTCCACAGACTAGGTGGAATTACAGTTCCCTGACAAACTCATAAGTACTTGTTTGGAGGAGTGGATATCTGGAATCGTGCCCTGGACGCATCTCTGTTTTTTTGGCCGGAAAGCCGTGAAAACCAGCCTTAGAGCCAAAGCTCTGGACAACAGAGCATTAATTAGGCTGAAATTGACTAAGAGCCTAAAGGGAGCAAAAGGTAGTCTGGGGAGAAAGACTTCATCTGTCGATTTGTACACACTGGACATATTCAAACATTTGCTTTTGACATCCTTTACCCAATGTTTTAGATATGTTTGGATTTATAGTTAGAGAATAGAAAACTGTGAAAATGATGCTGTATGCACCATTCAAAATGGAGTTTTAAATTCCAATCCAATTATTGATGTGTCGTGTAAATAGAACTAAAGGAAGTAACATTTAAATAGATGAAAATCTATATTCAGGCTAAAAGACAAAGACCTTAAACAGAAAACCTATCTTGTCTTTCCATGTTGTTTGAATTTCTTTTAATTGCAAAAAACTTGCAGTTTCAATTGCTAAAATTTAAATTTCTTTTCAGCCCAATTCCAAATCCAATGAAACATCCTGTGGAAAATTTTAATAACATTTTAATAATAAAAAAATAAAAAAATAAAAATACTTCTACTTAGTACTACTTCTGCTACTAGCAGCACTAAAAGGCATATATCCTTTCCAAACTGTTTTTTGAAATACTCCCTAAGGCCCCTGTAAACAACATTTTACCCAAAAACATGGTATTGGCAAACAATAAAAAAAGCAACTACTTATTTTTATTATCACTAACCAACTAACTAAATAAAATCCCAGGAAGAACACCGTGAACACACACACAAATCAATAAATAAGCCTCAGTCTTAGAAGTGAAGATGCTACGGAAGAGTGAATTTGGTGGATGACTGGCTAGCTTACTGTCTTGGACTGATTAGAAACAATGTCATTATTTTGATCTGAGCCATGAGAAAAATCCCAGCAGCCCATCTTAGAGTGATCTGATTACTGTCACTGCTCATTTGGAACGCTAGCAGTGAAAACTGCCTGTTGTGATATGACGATGTCCTATCACTGACTTATAAGTTGGGAAGTAGCAAACGACTCAATCATTTCCCCTCTTCTCACATCTCTCAGTCCAGTTGAATTCACTGAGAAAAGGACACCTGTAGGGAGGGCTTATCTTCGGGCAAGAAGCTAGCAAAATAACTGAATCTCTCTGCGTTTTTCCTACTCAGCCGCAACCTCCAGCAGGCCCTTGTTCTCCCGCTTTCTCAGACAGGCTCAAATCCATGTTCTCAAACTTGACAATGATCCACCCCTCCTTTTTCGATTCAATTCCTCCACAGACTAGGTGGAATTACAGTTCCCTGACAAACTCATAAGTACTTGTTTGGAGGAGTGGATATCTGGAATCGTGCCCTGGACGCATCTCTGTTTTTTTGGCCGGAAAGCCGTGAAAACCAGCCTTAGAGCCAAAGCTCTGGACAACAGAGCATTAATTAGGCTGAAATTGACTAAGAGCCTAAAGGGAGCAAAAGGTAGTCTGGGGAGAAAGACTTCATCTGTCGATTTGTACACACTGGACATATTCAAACATTTGCTTTTGACATCCTTTACCCAATGTTTTAGATATGTTTGGATTTATAGTTAGAGAATAGAAAACTGTGAAAATGATGCTGTATGCACCATTCAAAATGGAGTTTTAAATTCCAATCCAATTATTGATGTGTCGTGTAAATAGAACTAAAGGAAGTAACATTTAAATAGATGAAAATCTATATTCAGGCTAAAAGACAAAGACCTTAAACAGAAAACCTATCTTGTCTTTCCATGTTGTTTGAATTTCTTTTAATTGCAAAAAACTTGCAGTTTCAATTGCTAAAATTTAAATTTCTTTTCAGCCCAATTCCAAATCCAATGAAACATCCTGTGGAAAATTTTAATAACATTTTAATAATAAAAAAATAAAAATACTTCTACTTAGTACTACTTCTGCTACTAGCAGCACTAAAAGGCATATATCCTTTCCAAACTGTTTTTTGAAATACTCCCTAAGGCCCCTGTAAACAACATTTTACCCAAAAACATTATTGGCAAACAATAAAAAAAGCAACTACTTATTTTTATTATCACTAACCAACTAACTAAATAAAATCCCAGGAAGAACACCGTGAACACACACACAAATCAATAAATAAGCCTCAGTCTTAGAAGTGAAGATGCTACGGAAGAGTGAATTTGGTGGATGACTGGCTAGCTTACTGTCTTGGACTGATTAGAAACAATGTCATTATTTTGATCTGAGCCATGAGAAAAATCCCAGCAGCCCATCTTAGAGTGATCTGATTACTGTCACTGCTCATTTGGAACGCTAGCAGTGAAAACTGCCTGTTGTGATATGACGATGTCCTATCACTGACTTATAAGTTGGGAAGTAGCAAACGACTCAATCATTTCCCCTCTTCTCACATCTCTCAGTCCAGTTGAATTCACTGAGAAAAGGACACCTGCTATAAGCGGAAGATGTGTTGATTGCTTTAAGGGTTTCTTTTACCCTGCTATATAGGTTTGCACAGATAGACTTTTGGCTAGCAGTGTAAAGTCAGGTCCACATCGCATCTTATTATAGTCATAATATGATAGCTTTAACAGCCTTCGACTTGGGTTCATCTGAAATAGCTGCAAACACAATAATAGACCTGTGTGGAGAAAAATGACTGTAAAACTATGGAAATATGAATTAGATCAATGATAATTTTTCCACAGTCCTTCAAAAACTAATAAATAATGATTATTTCACAGCCACAACTCAACAAAGCGAAGCAGTAACACTAGTTTACTTGCTAATAAATGCCTTAAATAAACATCTGAGTGTATTTTTCAGTTTTAACTTTGTTAAATCAAATGACTATTTCTTCCCCAAAACCATTACCATGCCTGTTTGACTGCATTTCATCTTATTGGATGCAGTAGACCAAGCCTACATGCAGTTATATATCTGAAAAAGAGGCAGAAATGCAAAACACAGCTCCGAAGCACAGAAAATAAGTTTACGAATACTACATGATAGCACATTTTAACACATTTAATGAGAAACACCGGCAGCACCACTGAGACTAAATGGATGCACTGAGATTTTTTTTTAAAGTGACCCCTACGATTTAAGCTGCCGAGTGAGATTTAGATTTAGGATCAGATGTCGAGAAAATTATATTTTGGATATGCAATGCTAAGAATTTTTGGCACCAAAATGAGGTCCTAATCCGGCCAGATATAATTTCCTACTGAATGTCTCCTTGTATCTTTTAAATCCAACCAAGTCCACCCTCAGTGCTCTTTAGAATACCCACAAAAACAATTAACTCAAAGACACAGGCAAGGGCGTCCTTTTGTGTCCAACCAAGGCTCGAATTGGATTTATCCCCCTGCTTTGGGGGATTATGTGATAAATTGCCCATTGCACCAGAGGAGGGAGGAGAATGAGACTACTGTGTGAAACTTTTAAAGGTGATTTCACAGGGCTTGTTATGAAAACCTGTTTTATTTTGCAGAGAAAAGGTATTTGCAGAATACAGGTTACGTCCACCATAACTTAATGGTAAATTAATGCTTGCCAGTTTTAAACAATGTTCGGAATTAAGACCCGTTTTGCATAAATGGGATTTAATGGTGAGGAATAATAATTAAAGTCTCTTCGATCTCTGATGTCACCGTTTCACTCTGTGTGCGTATGATAATATGTATATTTTATGTGCTTCTGTTTCTACTTACCCAGAGGTAGCCTTGAGGAAGTGAAGTACTCGCCGCTGAGAAACCAAGTAAAGCACATTGAACAGGATTGTGAAGCGCAGCCTCCAGCTATGAAAAATAAAAGAACATTTTTTAAATCTTATAGACCTGAGAACATGTTAATTTAATGCAATTATGAAAAATGAAAAATGAAAAATTAACCAGAATCAGCATTTTGCATAAATGGGATTTAATGGTGAGGAATAATAATTAAAGTCTCTTCGATCTCTGATGTCACCGTTTCACTCTGTGTGCGTATGATAATATGTATATTTTATGTGCTTCTGTTTCTACTTACCCAGAGGTAGCCTTGAGGAAGTGAAGTACTCGCCGCTGAGAAACCAAGTAAAGCACATTGAACAGGATTGTGAAGCGCAGCCTCCAGCTATGAAAAATAAAAGAACATTTTTTAAATCTTATACACCTGAGAACATGTTAATTTAATGCAATTATGAAAAATGAAAAATTAACCAGAATCAGCATTTTTAAAACAACTGAATTTGTTGCTATAGCTCAAACATGGTTCAAATAACGCCAAGGTCATAGGTTTCGACTCTCAGGGAGTTGTTTAGCTTGAGTGCATTGCAAGTCACTTTGTATGTGTAAATAGTGAAGAATAAAATATACTAAAATGTATTTGAAATACATGTATTTTGTGCCAAGTATACTACAAATACATTGACATATTTATTCACTTAATAAAAATACCCCGCAATTGTACTTTTGGTATACTAAAGTCTGTTAAATTGGAACAACTAACAATTTAATTGTGCGAAGGTAGTGCTGAAGTCCAACTAAAGATATACTGAAGTATTTTTGATTATGCTAAAGTGGAACTATTGCAAGTATACTTCAGGTAAACTTTAAATATCTTGCATTTAAAGACTGATATTATTCAAAGATCATACGATCTTCATCAATAGTGACATTAAATCACATTTTAGGCTTAATATTACAAAATGTGCATTGTGCACAAGTAGTACTCCAAACAAAGTTTCATTATAATTTTTTATATCAGTAAGTCTCGAGCAATATGTCAGTAAACATGTTAGTAGATTTTAACTACAGTATACTTTAGTATGAAATAAATGTATTTTAAATATATTACTTTTTTACTAGGGTATAAATTAAATCTTTGAAAAAATTAAGCATTGAAAACATTTGAAACTTATTTTAAGGATGTTTAGCAGATATATTTTAGCAGACAGGAAAACCAGACAAAAATACTGATTAGGAAAATGATTCTCTGATTACAATGTAGCAATGTGGCTCACTTCAAGTGGTGGGTGGCATATTTACGGCGACCATAATGTTGCGTGATATCACGCCATATTAACAGACCACAAACAGCCGCTGTTTGGGAATGTTTATATTTAATGTGAGAAAGAAGGCTGGGAGAGATGGCAGAAAGCACATCTAATTTAATTAGGGAAAGAGAGGAGAGTTTGTTATCTATGAGAATTGAATATCTTTCATGTTGCCCCCAGTGGAAACTGGGCATCAACCGCTAGCTATTTCCAGCAGTTGTTTCCCATTTTCCCCACTTTTTCAAAGTGCAAACATAAACAGGTCCAAAATAATGTTGGCAAAATGACAATTTCAATCAGCCGAGAGCTCTGCCTCTCCTTTCTCCGAACCACTCCCTTCTTTTTTCATTAGCACGCAGAGTTTTATTTCCTCTTGCATATCTACCATGTATCCCATTTTTAAAGCATTCATCCATCTGCGGTGACAAAAATGTCTAATTTGTAATTAAATGCCAGTCATGGCAGGAGCACATATGGCAGCCTGCGGGCAGCAGAGATCGGCTAGTGGAGGGAAGGGACAGACTGAGGCTTTCTGAGTCACTTGAGAACACTGTTGCTCAGTGAGGAGCACAGGCAATCTTCACAGGTGGAGATTGCTTTGTCTTTGTTCATTCTCCAATGAATAGCAAGTGCATTTGCCTGAATATCTGCTTCAGCAGCAGTCCCTAGGAGTCTAAGACACATGCTACATGATTCCCCAGCAACACATTTATTCTGGGTTCTCGAACGGCACCTGGCATGACTCCTGTCCGACTGCAGAGGTAATATACTGCTTCTGAAAACTGACTTAATCCGGCCCATCCTGAATGCTTCTTTTTATGTATGGAATTTTCAAAATTCTACATAAAAAGAAATGTATTCTGGATTGGAACAACATGAGGGTGAGTAAAACTATCGTTATCAATTATCAAATTTATCAATTTGTGGGTGAACTAGTCTTTTAACTTGTGTGCTTTTAACCAAGATGCTCTGGTTCTGGTGACAACTGATGACAATTTCACATCAATGCTAGGCAGGATAGCATTGTGAGTCATTTAGCATATCAGTGTACCACAGTACCATCTGACATTGGCAGGACATCACTAAACAACATTCATATTCATGTGGGCATTGATATTTCCCTCATGTTCTGCTCAGTCACTCTGCACTTTGTGATGCATCCAGCTAATGCGATGAGAATCCAACATGTCTCTTCATCCCCCTTGGCACAACTTCTCTGACACGGTGCGAGTCGTTGAGATGAAAGCGATGGACTGTCCTGCAAATAATGGGTTTTAAAATACAAGTAGAAGCCAAGAGTTGACTGTTGAATATAAAGTCTCTGAATCTCTCTGTCTCCATATCTATCTCTGACTTTCTCTCTCTACCAAGCGGAACGCGTGCACGGGGAAAAGTGGTGAGCCACCACAATCTCCGCCAACCCTCGGGATCTAATTGGAGGATGCCATTGCAAGGGATCACAGAGGGGTGTGACGGGAGGGTATCTTCAATCCCCTTGATCAGATGACATGGAACACAGAACAAAAAGGACAAACGGTCCTCAAATCCCTACTGCGCTGAGCGGCAGGCACTGTCACCAAGCTGCCATGCTGGCTCAAGGAATGTATCCCAGGCTTTAAGCTCCACTTTTAAACACCCTTTTATCCTGCACAGCTGTGCCCCCAGAAAAACTGCTTAAAATTCTCTGAATGATCATAATAATTACAAGAAACAGCTACTAATCAGGTGCTGACAAAGGAGTGGTAACGTTAGATAACCAAATCTCCTGCTTCACTTTCAATTGCAGCATACTTCGCCTTATCAGCCTTGGGGGACAGGTAAGGTGGAGACGAATCCACATTAATGGCGGTGGAATGCTAATGAACCACATTTAAGCAGAAGACACAATGATCCAGGTCGCTTCGGGTTCCCAGCGGAGGCCAAGTTTACACTGCAGCGAGCATGCAAAGCGATTTAATGTTGATGTGCGACCGCTGTTTAATTTGCAATGGCCCATGTGGGCTGATCGGTTGAAGAAGACTGACAGCACAATTAGCAGAGAAAAGGCAATTCAAAGAAATACGAATACCAGATTAACTCCAAGATTGAGGCTGTTTTGTTTCCTCTCATTAAACTATTGCTCTCAAAACGTTCCTATATTCCACTGAAAGTATATCACAGGAAGCGTTGACATGAAGTCACTAGTTCTTGCATGTCCTGTAAACAAACAGATTTGATGATTTTTGAAAAATGTCTCAGTGGTTTTTGTCCATACAATGAATGTCAACATGGTCCAGTGTTGTTCTGTACCCCATTGACTTTCACCATTCAAAATATTCTTCAGATATTTGTGTTCTACAGAAGAAATTAAGTCGTACAGGTTTGGAACAACATGAAGTCATGAAACTGACAGAATTAATTTTTGGGTGAATTAAATCTTTAAATTTCAGTTTCTTCTGCTGGAAATGCTCTGTTGCCTGTTCAAAATATTATTCCTGTCAAGAGCGACACTCGTTACTTTTGAAAGCTGCACTGTTAAACACCAGACATGAACAAAGTCACCCTCAGAACAAAGGATTTTGAGACTTTTTGTTGCATCCTGTCACCAAACTTCGCAATGGACAGTGACAAGCTCCAGTTGTATCTCGGGAGCTTCCGCTGAGTGCAACGATTTGCAGCCTTGACCGAGACAGCGAGTTTATATCATCATTTGTGACAGGTCCTCTGTGATCTTGACAGAGAAAAGGAAATCAGATTTACACTTCCTGTCAAACATAATCCAAATGCGTTGAGGGCCCAATGCATTCTCCCTGCTTGAACTCTGCAGATGAAAAAGTGACAGATTAGGGCAAAGCTATTTGAGTAAAAAAAAACAAAAGGGCTCTTAATTAATTACACTGATCCTTGGAGATGAAGGGGCAGATGATGAGGTTAAACTATCAGCAATTAATAGCAAAGCCTCGATGAAGCCTCCTGGATTTAGCTGTAAGTCTGGTTGGGGGTTTTAAAATGCAGCTCAATGTACTGTATATGTGTTTGTATTTGCTTGCAGGATATATTGCAGCATAGGAGAAAAAGTGTCACAGCAGTCCAGCAGAGATGTGAAGGAAAAAGCTTTTAATCCATGCTGTGGCGTCTGTTCTTCACAGACGAGGAGGAAGATGAAATGCAGAACTCACAGAGGGATCGAAAGGAAGCAGAGAGGGGAAAAAACAAGCCTCATATATGCACAGAAAAGATTGCGGAAGGCATAACCTTGTCTGATTTTACAGGGAAAAAATCCATGCTGACAAAAAACAAAGGAGAAAAAAGTAGAATCAACAGAGGGCTGACATGTAAGGGGAAGGGCACCTTTCTCCAAGACATTTCTGATCTATATTTCATGTGCTTTCTGTCTTGGTCTCATGTGTTGAGCATCAGCTTGAGATGTAAGTTTTATCTTTTTTTCTTCCTCTTTCTGCTGTAACAGCTTCAAGTCATTGGTGTCATATATCAGTCGCTCTCCAAACGGTGCTATAAATAGACCCCATCCACACATTCACTATAGCAAGAGATGTCATAGTGCCATCTCGTCAGCAGTCAACAGTCAATCATTGAGTTCTGCAGCCATCATATTAGTTATGGACTACAATTGGTTCACTCTCAAGTAACCGTACACTAGCAGTACTGATGGAACGTAGACAGGAAACAAAACCAGTACATCCAGACCATGTCAGAACTTACTGTAAAACAAGCAAAACTCTATATATAGGATATCAAACATCATCTGTAGGATGCAACCCAAGTGGGAAATTCACTTTTTTCCCCATCAACCACAGTGGCAACTGAATTTTCCCATTGGTTTTCCCATTTATACAATATAAAAAAAGAATAAATAATATATACATAATATAGAATATATTTTCATAATACACTATTGTAAGTTACAAAAAAGTACAGATTTTCTTTGCATCCATACATCTGCATTGAATCAACAGGAAAATTTACTGTGGAAGAATGCACTGTTGCAATTATGATGATGTAAATTGATTATAATTGAACTTTCCATGACGATGCTTTTAAAATAACACAAAAGGATACAAAAACCCCTTACAAACTGTTTGCAACTCTTGTACTCTACACTTTACAGGCACAACACATAGCCAGCAAATTGGAAAAATCTACATGCAAACAAACCAATGATGGTTTGTGCTTAAGATCAGTGATGCGTTAAGCTTATTTCTTGAGGCCCGAAAGCTGCTTTTTAAAAACCCAAGTGGCTATTGACAATCAAAACACAACCATGAGTGACAAAAACAGCTTTTAAACTGCAAAAAACTTCAAACTAAGTTAAGTATACTGGGCACATATCCACAACAATAAGCTAGAGAAGGCCCTAGATTCTAGTAAGTACACTTCATTGGACAGAACCATGACATGGGTTTTTAGTACTATGAAAGAGATTCATAAAACATTTCTTCTTTTTTCCCCCCCTTATGTTAATCCCAAAAAGAAAAACATCCAAACCGGACACATTCAAAAAATCCTTTTTCCAGCTTGTCTTCCCATACTTCAAAGCACCCGGTATGGAATCTCCACGGTATTATAAAAACACTCTCAAATAAGAGCCATCTTCTCTCCAACCTAATGCTTCGTTGGGAAACAGATTTTGTTTCTTTCTCATCCCACGAGACATCTTTATACTTCTCGGTACTTCTAGCATACAGCTTTTACAGCTGAAGTAGATTTTTTAGTGGAGGGTTTTTAGCACGTTAAGGCTTCTGTATTATCCACATGAACGCTACCTTGTTGGAAAACGTGATAAAACCAAACTCCAAATCTCCAGGAATGCACAATTCTGCAAGTTACTGAACTTTACAGTTAGAGCACATGCTAGCCTGAATGCAAGCTCGAATCTGGCTTGTGTTGCTTGCCAATCCCATTCCACCCTTTTCATGACCTCGATATCTCTTAACTATCCGAATGAAAAAACAGAATGGAGAGCTGAAGGATGCAAGCATGAGGACAGATATATAATCTGACTGGCTAAGATGACATAATTTGACGGATGGAGATCAAACAAGGAAAATTTTACCTTATAATACAGGTTAGGCCTCGATAAATATAAGTGTATGCATTTGAACAGAACAGCCCTTTACTTAGTATTGCATTTCAGGAACAATAAGTGCCGGTTTGTGCAGTATTACAGGATTTTTGCGAGGCTTAGAAATGGGTCAGATATTGCCTGGTGGACTGGTTAGGGGTGGGACAGAGAGGCCCCAACTGATCCGTGTCAGAATTGAAAGACCTGATAACGGTTATCTCCTCCGCCTAACAAGTCCATCCACCAGGCTTTTACAAAAATGGCAGAACTGTGTGTGTGCAGATCAGTTGTTCATGGTGATGCTACAGAACTTCTATTTTATTATTGGAGACGAGCAAGTTCCCCAACGGCTTTTCTCTTTTGATCTTGGTCTTTAAGTGCCCCCCCTTCCAATCTCGGCACCAATGAATGTCCTGCCAAGCGCATCAGCTGCCATAACCTAAAAGTAAGATGTTTTGGAGGCCTTGGCAATGGCCAGCTTGCTGCCCAGTGGTAGCGGCAGTTGTGGAGCAAGGCTGGATATATGCTGACAGTAAGACAGAAGACGTCTCTGCCAGGAGGACTTAAAGTCACTCACTTTAAACCCATCTCATCTTTTTTTATCAACAAGACAGATGCACAAGCCACCCATCCATAACCAGACCAAATACACACTGCAGCAGGTTTTCACAAAGCAATGGCACCCTATAGAGTTTGAGCCAAGAGAAAGCTTAACACAATTAAAAAAAAACAAAAAAAACCTTCTGAGCAGGTGTGGAAAGCAATGATGTGGAAAAAGTATACCGTTGATCTGTTTTTCAGAGCTCCAAGCTGTTGCACAAAACGCATGATCAAGCCATTTCACCAACAGCCTTTACTTCCCATCTATTGGGTTGCAATGAGCTTAATTTAATGCAGCCTGATTGATTTATTCTCGAGTGTCCCACAGTCATTAACGTAATTGCATGATCATTTTATAACACCCTCACATGGCACCTAGATTCACCATTCAGGGGTAAGTCATCTAACTTTGTTAGGTCTTAAAATCTAGCCCGAAATATCATCTTCCAGAGAGTAAAATTGATTTCATTCCTTTTTGACTGACTCTGAAGCCATTTTAGTCTGTCTCTTACCCGAGTCCACCATTTGATATATGAGGAGCTTGCTGCTCTTAACAGCTCCTATTGATCCACAACCTCGCTCTCCTACTAGTGTGACTGGAAAGCTTCCATGTCACCTTGTAATTCCACAATCCTGGCAATGTTCCTGTAAGATCATCCTTTGGTCAGACTCTGTCTGTGGAGGTTGCTTCTGTGAGACTTTAATTTCCTAGCTAAAAAAATGATTGCATGGTATACAACAGTTTCTAAAAGCACTTTGTCTTTGGGAAATCAACTATAAACTTCTTTCTGCTCAAGGAAAGTTTCTGATTAGCCTTTGGACCTCAAACTGGAAGTCTCTCACCTTACATTCCTGGCTTTTGGAAGTGAAGGCAGGCATGCGACAGGCCAGCAGTGGACACCAAAACGGAGCTTTTGTCTTCCCATCATCTTCTGCAGGGAACCAACCCGGTGTGTTTTCGTCTCCTGCAAAAGATTAGGTTATATTTGGGTTAGTTTATTATTCATTCTCCTACCCTAGCAGATCATGCAGAGTGACATCACATCTCATATGTATATCTAATTATACAAACTGAAGTATGGTAGTACTTAAGATGTTTGAGGCTCCTGGTGAGCACTCTCTGAAGATATTTTCAGTATAGCAGACTAATGAGCCTTCGAAAGTCTCATTCCTGCAGCAGGTGTCGGTCTCAGCATGTGAAGCAGCAACCTCCAGGTTTCAATTAATGAAGTCTAAATTCTGGAGGCGTGGGCCACCTAGGTCTTCCCTCACAGCCACTTTGACAGGTGTTTACAATTGCCAAGCACAATACTTGCCTGCCAGCAACCGTTCTCTATTAAAGCAATTCAGTAATTACCTATCACGGCCATCTTACTCTCGCATAAAAATGTCATGTTTTTCTGGTCCCCTGTGTCTTTGTGAGCACATCAACTCAAAATTAGCCCCAGTACCACGAAAATAGGCTACAAACAAATGCAGTCAGATTGGACACGGCTCATTTGTTTTCACAGTGTGAAAGGTACGCGGCACGGTTTGAAGGCCGATGTACCATAGCCATATCAACGCACAAGTCAGAGCGGGAGACTTAAGGGCCAATTAGTTTGAGTTTAGTCTCACTGTTTCTCAAGGGTTTCAGGAGAATTTCTTTCAGATTTCAAAATGGCCAGAGTGCGACATCTCTGTATATCAGCACTATGTGGTCGACACACTCTTAAGAGGCGTTAACGCTTAGATTTTTGCTTCTGTTCTCCCTCCACTTACAATGGAGCCAACTCTCTAAAATCAATGCAATCAATGGCGTACTTCGAAAGGTCAGACTTCAAACACTTCTACTCCAACTAAACTTCTCAGACTGGGACTTCTTTGCCTGTAAGTACAGTAAGACTATGGATAAAACCACACAAATTCTTAACATAATTGCACACACCTTGTAATAATCCCCTTTCAATACTTTAAGTCCAGAAATGGGAATTCTTAATCTAATCATTTTATACAAAGTTGATCCTACTGCTACGGCAAATCTATGCATTATTTATAATAGTATTAAAAGGTAATTTAATTTTTTGAAGGACAAAGGGAAAGCAGAATTTGGGATCATTTCTAAGGGAATATTTCTGAATATCTGTGAAAACAGACTGATAAAGATGATGTTCAGAAATATCTTAAATAGCATTTAAAATACTGTTATTGTGATGTTTACAATAATCTTTTTTCATTCAAATATTTGTTTTTTGTATGTTTAGTGTATCTCAAACACCAAATGTTGCAGACACAAACAACACTTCTGACTCTGCTACTTTTTTGTGAGCTAATGATCATGAAGAAACTGAAAATAAAGATTAGGTCAACTAGTGTTTGCATTCTGCTAACGTGGCCTCCTGTGAATAATATGATGCTAAAAATTGCAATTACCATTTGTTCTGACAGATTGTTTCTACATACAAGCCTGTTCTCATTTATAATTAATATGTTAAGTTAAAGCTTAATAATCACACATACTGTATGGAAAAACATTATATACAAACACCGTATCAACAAGGTTTGTCAAATAATATTTAAAACGCAGACAGTACCCAAGACAGACTCAACCAAGTCTGGTCTTCGAGGACAACCTGTTCTCATTGTTCACATGTATTTCTCCTTCAATTAATTGCAGAGACTAGCAGGTCAAGGTTTGACTGCGTACCTTTAGCTGTCCGTCCCACTGGATCATGCAATAACTGCACCAGGTTTTTTATCATTCTTTTGAAATATCAAGTAAATCATCAGCCAAAGAGCACACTATGATTTTTGCATGAAAGTAAACGCTATCCAGGTAGGCATCTTTCTTTGCATCTTGTAACTAAAACCCTGACCCTCAAGACTGTCAGACAGATATAATAAAAGCAAGGCCCTAACATCTTTAGTCATTTAGAAGCAGAGCCTTACCTGTTTTCACAGCACAGCGAAGCATGAAAGCGAATTTTACTAACTTACAAAAGCGTCTAATCCTTTCACCCACCACGTCTCCTTTCCATTTGCAATCAGGACAGAATTCTCTAGATCTTCTCATTAAATAAAACAGTTCTGCTATGATCTCATCACAAGTTTGCCCTTTGGAGAGATGATCGAGGAGCGTAGTTCACTTCTAAATCACTATAATTGAATTCTAGCTGTCAGTCAGCCCTACTTAAGGGTCATCGTGTTTGCTGTTTACTAGTGCTGTGCGATATTGAAAAAAAATGCGATACGCGATACCTTGTTAAAAAATGCGATATTCGATATGCGATACGATGTTGCTTAAAGTGTGAATAATACATTTAAATTATATTTTAAAATATTTAAAAATGAAAATGATATAACCAATTTGTTTCACATTCTTTCTTGGAAAAGAAAGAATCACTACAACTTCTGAAAGTGACCAGTAGTGTTTTAGCAGTACATAAAAAGTAATGTCACAAATCAGAAAATGTCATTTTAACATCAATGTGAACATACAAACAAAAAAATGAATGACACTAATTTTATATCATTGTGACTTTGCGTTCCAAACACTTTAAGTACTTCTTCATATACCACAGCAAAAACTATCTCTGTCACACAACGTCTCTGATGCGATACGATGTTGCTTAAAGTGTGAATAATACATTTAAATTATATTTTAAAATATTTAAAAATGAAAATGATATAACCAATTTGTTTCACATTCTTTCTTGGAAAAGAAAGAATCACTACAACTTCTGAAAGTGACCAGTAGTGTTTTAGCAGTACATAAAAAGTAATGTCACAAATCAGAAAATGTCATTTTAACATCAATGTGAACATACAAACAAAAAAATGAATGACACTAAATATTTTATATCATTGTGACTTTGCGTTCCAAACACTTTAAGTACTTCTTCATATACCACAGCAAAAACTATCTCTGTCACACAACGTCTCTGTGTGTGTGTGTGCGTGTGCTTTGCACGTGTGCGGCAGAAGAGACACTGTGCGAGATGCGGCTTGTGCGCGCGCTTCAGGTGTGAGTCAGACAGCAAGACGAGACGGCAAAGAGTTGTTTTCTGCAACTTATTGCACTTAACTCTTTTTAACGTCAAGCAATTCTCTGCTATATGCATCGAACTAAAACTTTGACCTTTTGCAACGTTTTGATTTAAGTAGCCTATTATTAAAATTATTCTGACATCGCACGCCGTTGCGATATGCATATCGCGATATTTACATTTGCGATATTTCAATCAATCGTGCAGCCCTACTGTTTACCTGCCTCACACTGCGACACTTAAGCTAGCTATTAAATTAGCAAATAGTTCAGCACGAAATGTGATCTTTGCTGATTTGTTTGTCAGAAAAGGACAACATCCCAGTTTCCAACACTTTTCCAACACACCAACACTTTTCAGACATACCCAAGTTTGTCCAAACATACATGCTCAAACTCTCAGCAGAGAAGAGTAAATGCTAGCTTTCGCTGGTTTACTAGGAGCGCAGTACCACTGGCATTCAGCCCTATGAAATATATTAATAATGCACAATAATTGATGTTTTGCTCTCAATAAATGCTGCGGTGGCAAGTGAGATGAGGCATTAGTGTTGTTGAGGCCTGTCTTGCGCCCCTGCATAGCAAGGGCTAATGACTCGGGCATAATGCATTCTGTTGGCGTAAGCTCCCAATACCCCGGCTAACACAATGCGAGGAACATGCCAAAACTCAGCAGCCAAACACTCTCTGCTCACTCCCTCATTGACAATGCAGCAACCATCATTCTATTCATGTTGTGTCGTAAAACTCAAGTCGCTTGGCAAAGGATAAGCAAACAAGTGTGTACCACATCAGGGAGGCTGGGGTTTAACCAGGGGTTGCTCACTGATAGCCGCTGTCAGAGCGTGAGAGAAAGAGAGAATGAAGGTGAGAGAATGATGGACAGAAGAAAGGATTTAGGCTCGAGGCTAACAGGTATCTCCACCAGACAGACACTGGATGAGAAACTGGGATAAAATAAAAGTGAAATGTATTTGCATCTGCATATAGGCAAAAAAAGCGCGCGCACACACACACACACACACACACACACACACAAAACTGTCAGATAAAAGTAAATGATAGTAAATGGTAGGAATTGGAGCTGTCAGTTTATTTCTGTATTTATTCTGTACTGTACCGTTCTGCTCTTTGGTATTAAACAAATGTTCTGGGTTCAACTGAAGTGAACCACAGTTGGCAGCATTAGTTGTGTAATGTCAATTACCACAGAAAATCATTTAGCTTCGGCTATTTGTTTTTGTTAAGTATAGAGCATTTAGAGTAAGGCTTTTACAATGGATTACGGTGTCTGGAAAGTTTAAAGGATGAAAAATTAAGTTTACATTTTTGTTAAAGCACTTACATTTATTAAAAAAAACATTAATAATTGAAATTATTTTCTGTAAAAGGAAAGTCTGTTATCTGAGCTGCATGGGTTTTCAAACTGGGGTCCTAGGACACCTGAAGGGGTACAAGACGGTTCTTTGGGGTCAACAATTTCAGAAAATAAAAAAATGTATTCTAATGATGATAATAGATGATAATAACAGATAACAGATGATGATCATATTTGGGGTTCCTTAACATCAAAAAGTTTGAAAACCCTAGTTCATTTATTTACACTTAGGGCTGGATGATATGGACAAAAATGTATTGTAGAAATGCACTCGTAGAAATGAATATTAGACATTCGCTTGAGTTGACAGTAGGAATAACTTGAGTTAGGATGCAGATGTACATTTTTGTTCATGATCAAAAACAGTAACATATGTAAAAAATGTTAACAACCTCATTTTTATATAGTGAATTGTAATCATTCGGGCTGTTCAAGTTTTATTACAATTAACCATTGGTCTTCCATAGTAGCATGCATTTAGATCATGATAACCACAGTTAAAACAACACATATAGCATCTCAATACCATAGTAAAAATATAACTATATGGTTTCTAG